AGCTCACATTAATGGCTGGGGCAGCTGGAGGGGCCTGGTGCCTCCCAGGAAGTGCACAGCTCTTGGGAGTCAGGGACCTTTGCAGCTGAACTCTTCACCTCAGCTCTTGATTTGGAGATGTCCTGATCATCAGTGTTCAGCACCTTTGGGATCAGCTTGCAGTCACTCTCATTAGGCTTGAAGTCAAAGACCTTCCCTCTTGGCAGGAAATGGATCAAATGTTGAGGAACTCGGTTGATGCAATTGTGTGAATGTAGCAATCCCACTAACAATAACCGTGTTGAAACACACGTTTGTATGTTGCACTGAGGTAGAAAGGAGATAAGATAATCTCTGTGCTCAGTAGAAAATGCTCACTAAAAGCTAAACAGTTCCAGTTGCTGGGCAGCCTCCCCTTTAGCTTTACACTGCTGCAGTGTAGCAGCATTGGGTGAGCCCTCCAGTCAGCCCTGATCCTCACTGCCCCTTGAACATGGCCCTCCCAGGATTATCAAATAGGGCTCCTTCTCCTTCCACTGAGGTTTCTTTGAATGGCCAGAAGCATTTTTATATTTATTAATATGGACCCTGAGATGAGGCTGGCAAATGTATGAAAGTCAGTCATACTGACTTTCATATATTAAAGAGCTGCCAAAGGAGTGCAAAAGGGGATATCCCACTAATGAGAATTCTATTAAAATTCATTAGGATTAATTTCTCCACAGTCATTATTTACCAGTTAAAATCAATGAGAAACCAAGCTCTTTCTTATATCAGGGCTGATTGTGTAGATGCAAAGTACAATCACCTATCCGTAACTTCTGGATGTTACTGCATACTCTAGATGGATATAGTTACAAAGCAATAATTTGGGACAACATGCCACATGAGTTAATTAATCCTTGCCTTAAAAGTTCCTGGATTCCTGCTGAACCTTAGCTTTGAACTTCTCTGAATAGAAACAGGAGGTAAGGACTTCAAAGCTGATACATTTCCTGGGTAACAGAGTGCATGACCAAATTTCTGTTACCACATATTAAAATAAATTTTCAGCAGTTAATTCCAATAGTATTTAATTTTATATTTTCATGCTACAAATAGCAGTGTTCCTTTGTATAAAATTGTAACTTTGACTTCACTTGATGGTTTTCTGTGTTTTGAACCAGATTTTTCTTTTTAGCCTATGAAATCCTGTAATTTGAAAAATAAAATAATCTCCAAGGAATTGCTGCTTTAAAAAAATTGGATCTCTTACACTAGCTTCCTCTAAATTCTTCTCTTTCTTAAACAATGCTGTATTTTTATGTAAGCAATACACATGCCAGACATTTCCGTGAAAAATATGATGTGTACAGTGCACTTCATTTGTTTCTTGACATAACAACATAAGTTGAAAAAACACAGCAGTTTGTAGGAATTAAGTTAGGATATAAAACAGACTATTTATGTCAAGAGGAGGAGACAATTTGCATTAAAAACGGGGACGAGGACTCCCTACATAGTTCATGCAAATCTGATGTGAATTTTATAAAAACATGAGAGGAACTCACTGCAGCCATGTGGCAAAGCGCAGAGCATTGTCACCCCAGGACAGTCACACAAACAGGACAGAGTTTCACTCTGGAGAAACCCAAATTCTGAATCTGAATCTAGAAAGTGCACAAACCCCATTGCTTATGAAAGTTCTGGATGTGAAAGTGCCTCACCACCTCCTGTGACCCAGGAAGGGTCTAGGGCAGCACTCCCTGGCAGCACAGTATCTTTCCCACTCTCTGCAAAGGGGGAATTTGTCACTTTGGAACTTGTCTTCTTTGGAAGCAGGACTTCAGCAGGCACTGGTAGGAGTTATAGCACTGTTCTGAACAAAACATACTGTCTGCCTGAAATCACAACAGAATTTCAGGACGAGCAGGCTGGCATGAAATAAATATTTGAAGTTCAGTCCACTTCAGGCGATTTGCCCAAAATAATAGGTGATGGTTAAAAATGATATTTGGTTTCCAAATACCCATCTAAATGCATTTTACTTGGCAGCATGACAGAACAGTCATTTTTAGAATTTTATGCCATTAAAATCAGAGGTCGGTTAAAGTGTAACTATCCAAACATTAGACTAATTATTGCTACCCAGTGTCTGTCAAGGGCTTTGTTCCTTGTCAAGATGCCTGCACACTTTAGCATAAATGCTGTAACTCTCCTTCCCTAGCATCCCTCTTTTCCTTCACCCCAACCCACACACAGAGTGGCATTTAAATAAGATTCTTATGTCATGAATATTAATGACATAAAGCTCAGAGCTTGGCATTTTTCACTAATGGCCCTCTTCATCACAGTTTCACCTCTAGACTGCAGCCAGCCCCTGTGTAACTTGCTGACATTTTTAAAAAACATGTTACTATCAAAGTGAAACAAAATACTGAGACAATTTCTCACAAATTAAAATTGTTGGCAAATCCTTTCTCCACATTGTGCGCTTGGGATGTCATTTGGCATGACTTCCTGAACAATGCCCATGTTGGCTTGGCATGGTTTGTCTTGTAATTACAGCTTATGCCTGTCACCTAATCCCTATAATAGCCCCAAATGAGCTGTGGATGAACATTTGATATAAAACTCAGCCTGGTTTAAAAAAAAAAAGTACGTATTTCCTTACAATCCAACTTTTCTATGAAGCTTCCAGAAAATCTCCCCAGAAAGATTAATACCATTGTTGGCATTTCTTAGTTCTTGTGGTTATTTGCATCATTTCTGTCCTTTCAGTCTGAGCTGTACCAGTCATCTGAAATTGCAAATTAAACAACAAACAATGTTTTGGAGATATTTATGGCAGTGTTCAAGATTTAATTTTCTGTTGTCTTTCTGCCTGAATGAAACACGTACAGCTCAGTCTCTCCATACAAGATAACGAGCCTTCTGAACAAGCTGCCAGACACTGACACACTTCCTGAAATGGCAAGTATGTGTTGGCTTCTTCTTGACCTTCATTTTCTCTCTGAGTTAGGACCACAATGTTCACATCCCACAGGCTTGAGCCTTTCAGTTTCTAGATCATCACTGAGAAACTGGCATTTCACTGAAACAACTGGGTGAATGAGAACAATAATAATTTGTCTCTTGCCTTCAGCAGAAAGTAAAAGTAGAAGGTGGATAAGCAGAAATATATTCTGGGCTCATTGAAATCAAATGTATTTCACAGTGTGGTGTGTGTCAGAGCTTTTAGTGCTTTGAATTAAACAGGATAAAGAGCAAACAGAACCACAGGACTGTAGGGCTGGAAAGAATAAGAAATCACCCATTACATGGCAAAAGCAACAACCTTTGGGTGCTTCCTGGTGGACAATTGTCAGCCTGCCTTGAAATCTTCAGTAGAGATGCACAAAAACCTCAGTCAAATTTTCCTGCTGTTCATGGCACTTCCATTACAAAATGTTTCTGATGATGTAACCTGAGTATTTCTTGAATTTTGTCTTGCTCCTTCTGCAGACCCATAAAATAGCCTTCTACATGCCTGAGAGACTGTTATCAAAGCTTTCCTCAGTCTGTTTGGCTAAATATCCCACTTTTTCAATATTTTACCCTAATTCATAATTTATAGATCACTTCATCATTTTTATTGCTATGTTTGGGACTGTGTCTGACCAGTCCATGGACTTCCTGAAGTGTGGTCCCTGACACAGCCACAGCAATCCAGCTAAAGCCTTATCAGTGCTGCTCTAGCAAAAGGGTTCCTCTGCAATCTTGTCTGCTAGCCACATTCCAGAATGACACTCTGTGTTGGCAGCAGCACGACATTAACTCCCGTCCTGTCTGATCTCAGCTGTCATTTCTATGCTCTTTTCTATCTGAATTTCTCCCTCCTCAGCTATTCCACATTTTCTGTCTGTGCAGGTTATTATTCCTGAGCATGGTGATAACACTTGTAGAAGTCAAAAAAGGTACAAAGTTTTCCATTTGTATCTCCAGTTTGTCACAACTATTGTTGTGGAATCCTATTCTTGACCTCCAAAGTGCTGGCAATGTACCAGACTTCATTTGTCCCTAGGTCAAACAAGCCTCTTCTGTGAGTTGGCCTTTGGATAAGGAGTGAAAGCACTGAACAGCACTGGGACAGACCCCAGTGGAACATCCATTTGACACATCCTCCCATTTGATAAGGAACATAACTGTTCAGCTCTGCACTCCCATTGGTCATCCTTTTTCCCTAATTTGCTGTGATATGAGACAGTATTACAGACATCACACTAATGAATGCTAAATATCGAAGATCCGTAGTTTTACTTTCTGCTTTACTTCTCAATAGTACAATTTTGAAAAAATTGCTTAATATGCAGTAAAATAGGCACCTTTGAAAGCACACATTTTAAATAACGTATTTTACGTTGGTTTGTTTCTTCATCAACATATAGAATTAAAATAGCAAGAAATGTTGTTTTGTTCTGAGTGCTCTGGAGGTGCCTATTATAAGCCTGTGCATTTTAAAAGTCTGTATAATTTAATGGCTGGGTACCAAATGTCATTTAAATTGTCTCTACTGTTTGAAGACAAATTCATTATATACTTCAAATTCAGGTAAGTATTTGTGTTTTAGAAACTTGGAGCATTTACTGACTGGATTTCATCCACTCTGAAGTCTCCAGCCATCCAGTGAATTCAAGGTCAGTATGAGAATGCTTGGATCGGATCTACAATGCAAGTTCCTTTAAGATCTCAAAGTTCTGAAAATTTACCAGTGTTTGCATTTGGTGTTTTGATTTGCCCCCTGCTACTTAACGTCTTTGTTTCAACATGTAAAGTGCTTCTTTTTTAAAAAAAGTGCAATTATGTAGGGGTGTTTATCAGATGTCTAACTGTACATAAAATTGTGGAATGGGCTGTGGTGTCCCCCTGTTGTTTAAGGGCTTGAAGTATTTTATAAACTCTTACATTTAATTTATGCATGTACTGAGAGATATGGAATGCTTTGATTCTTAATTTAGAGCATTCATACCATGCTTTGACTCTGGAAAACAAAGGCAGCTCACCTAGGAGTTCGGAAAGGCTGTTTCCTTTCATTGCTGTCACCATTAGAACTTCCTATGCAGCAGGAGCCCAAGTGTGAAGTGCAAAACTTCAAGTGTTCTGTAGGGTGGAAGCAGAACCATTACTGTACTCAATTCTTTTCAAAGCAGAAGGAGTGGAGGATTGTCTGGCTGAAGTAAGAAATGCAAGGAAAAACCTATGATGTCTTTTTAAGGATATAATGGAATAACACTGGAACAAAATTAGACTTGTAAGGAAATTGCCACTTTTGGATGATAAAATATTCAATTAGAAAGGGATCACAGCACCCTGCATTTCCATGGTACTTAGTTTCCTGAAACCCTAAACCCTTTCTAAGTGTTAACTAATTCACTTTGTAATTCTCCCTTTAGGGAAAAATAGTACTTTCAGACCTTTTTTGACAGATGTTGAAACTTTGTCTCTGGAGGACGGGGTTGTATACCCCAGTTCAAAGCAGAAACAGAGATCTCAGCTCCAGGTTGTCTCCTTTATGAATATCAGATTTAATCCTACAAGTCAGCAAGCACTTAGAACAGCCAAAAGGTGAAGGAGTCCCAGACTTTGTACAAATAATCACGGCCCTTTTACAAGTAATACTTGTGTTTCTGTCCTGCAGAGAGATTTTGGAGTGATACTGAGTGACCTGAACTAAATTTGTGTAGAACTTATCTATTGTCTTCACAGCAGATGTTTTCCTGGTGCTCTCCCAGGAAAATCCTTGTGCAAATGGGTAAATTAGCAGCACTGTTCCCATTACACAAGTGTCACAAGCTGAGCTGGTGAGCTCTGCACTTCCAGCACAAATGAACTGGGTCTGTTACCATGCTTCTTGTGACGCCCTGGCAAGGAAGAGCTCTTTTCATCTGGATTTTTTTTGCAAAGTTATTTGTTCAAACTGCTTGAAAACTGTTCCAATGCGGAAGGCTAGGCTGTCAGCATGGAGCCCTGAAACCTGATGTCTTCTCTATGAGTGTCTTGAGGGCCAAGCTATTCCAGTGAAATGGAAACCTGAAGGCAGCCAGATTTATTTCTGTCAGCCTGTAGCTCACTGCAGTTTGTTTGACCTGAAATCTGAGGGTTTCCAGCAAGGCTGGAGCAAACAGAATTCTAGGTAAGCACATGTGGAGTTTTGGTTGTGGAGTTTAGGGCTGGTCCTTGTGCTTGCTGTTATGGCTCTACAAGATTCTTATAAGCCCAAGCCCAGTGCTGTGAGCTCCTCACAGACCTGGTTTCAGAGAACAGTTTGTGTGCAAGGAGCTGTGACTTGGCATCACGCCCAATTTACTTCCACAAGTAGGAAGTAAAGATGAGATCTTCTTGTGTGGCTGGATAAAATACATATCCTGCCTTACAGCTGAGGACACATGCACAGTCTTAATCACAAATCTTCACCAAGAAACTGTTTCTAAATAAGTGGATAAGTGTTGGCCAATTGTTTATCACTTTTTTACTGCTGGTATATTTTACGGGAGATGGGATGATCGGAGCAATGCAACAGCATTACAGGAACATATTCATCCTTTTCCCAGCAAAAGCTTGCACTCATTTTTATTTGCTTGTTGTGACAATATGTTTGCAGAAAGTGACTGTAGGACTTGAAATTGAGATTAGTTTAATGATGAGATGGAGTATATTTGAAACAAATTTAGTCCAGAAGGCTATCCGGTCAGGAAGAGGAAACAATATCAAGGAACTAAGTAGAGCAAACAACTCAGATACTGAATTGTGAATATTGAGCACTCAGAAAAATTTCATATGGGCTGACATTGGTTATCTTTTTGCAACAAAGAGAAACTTTCTGAAGTATAAAGGCTGGGTGGTATATTGACCAACAATTCCTCAGAATGAAATTCAGCTGACTCTACTGCCTCTCTCTTCTCAGTCATGCACACTTCTTAGAGTATTTCAGTCAAAATAATTGTTTATATAAAATAAATTACTACATTGCTAAGTAAGGAATAAAGAACATATTTTTGACACAACTTTTGTTATAACTGTAATCATAGAAGTGTTCAATTTTATCATTTTTATGTAAATGAAACTCAAATAATTAATCTTCATGTTGCATATTGCCTTGGTCTGTCTTGCAAAAAACATTATGGCCCAACGTTTCCACAAAAAAGAATGCAAAATGCTGTCTGCTTGTAAGTTTGTGATTCATGCCTCCTGTCAAGACTACCAAACCAGTAAAAACACTGGAATGTAAAAAAAACAAGCATGATTATGTATTTCAGGAAAACAATTTTCTCAAGAATGTTTCTGGAACAAATTTTCAGTGTTTAGCTATTCCTAGTTGATATTTCAGTGATGGAATGCCTACTGGCACCAATTTGTACCATGGAATTGTCCCACAGGACAATACTTTGCTGTAGTGTGTTTAAGGTGTCTTTTTTTTCAGATTCTTGTAGCAGCAAATCCTTTAGCAGCTCATTACTTAATGGAAACTAAACAAAGCTTCTTCCAGGAAAAAAAATGTTGATCTCTATCACCCCACAGTGAACTTCTCTTCTTAAATACATAACACATGCTTTTGGAAAATATCCTCAGTTTAATCTGAACAGTGTAAACTCCAAAGACAAGACCATGTCCCCATTCATCCATCTTGCATAGCTCAAAACTCCAAACTTTCTGGGGAAAAAGAAAAGGAAGCACAGAAGATACTTTTGTGTACACAAATCTCCTTGTGTGATATGACTAGACCTTTGTCTCTCATTCCTTTTAAAAACAACCACCTTCACAAATGAGAACTCAGGGGTAGGCTCTTATAAATAGGGATCCTAGAGGCCCTGGCTGACCTTCTTTGCTCTCTGCTAACAGATATTTCTTCAGGTGTTTTTCCATTTCCTACGGAAACTCTCTCTGCTTTTTACTGTGCAGCAATCCCAGTGCTGGCTGCTCCCTCCATACGTCGTGACCTTTTTGCTGTGTCTGTTTCTGCCAGAGCTGCTGTTCCACTTTTCCATTCCACTGGAACCACCATGACCACTGGTATTAATTGTACCAAAAGAAGTATAGAGTACAATTTAGGCACAGAAGCCATGAATTTAGCAGCTGATAGCTTATTCATAGGTTTTGAAAAATATACAATAATGATTCCAAGCTTTGACCATGAATATCATATACCTCATGTAAAATCTCAATTCATTTGGAGCAACACTGGATCAGGAGGAAGGATGTTTATAATATTTCACTGCTGCTGTCACTTGCAGAGATGCAGTGCACTGTTTTAGTGGGTCCATGCTGGAGATCCATTCCACACTGGCTTTGGCTTATGCTTTTTGCCAAAAAAATTGCCAGTTTTTCAGCAGGAAAATGTTTGTGCCTGGAGTTGAGCAACCATAAAACATAATGCCATGAGTGTCATGGAACAATGAATAAAAGAAAAGGACAAGTTATTTTGCAGATGTATTTTGGAAACATGCTTTCAAAATGTTTGTCCTTTCAAAGCATTAAATTACAAATTTTTATATCTTGTCATTACTGTTCTGACTTTACAGTGTAGGAAGACATCTTGCTGCTGTTGTCCTTACTGTATCAGTGAGCTATTCCCTCAGGAGAAGTCTCAGCATGTGAAAAAGAAACTATTCCTGAAATCAGTGAACTCTATTTTAAACTGGCAAAGCAAGTTGCTCCTGTTTCTCCCCCAACTTAACCCGTAATTCCTGGAAGTATACAGTTCCCAGATATAAATGTAGAAAACCTAAAATTAAAACCAGATCACTTGCCTTTTCTTTTGAGGGTTGTGGAATTGCATACTTTGTGTTTTATAGTATAGCTGCTGTGTAAATATAGAATACATAGCAAAATATTGCTTAGGCCTTATGCCTCGTTAGTGTTTGTGCCTTTTTTCTTTAAAGTAAGCTCTTGTGCAATATTATAATAAACTAGGACAAAATATTGTCTTCTCTAAGGAATATGTGCTTTGAAATAGGTGAATGAACCAAGCTGTTAGACAATGCACAAGGTTCACTATCCAAAGTTTGGTGCTGGTTCTTGGAATTATGTTCAGATAACTGCAGGGCCATTTTCTCAGTACCACTAGCAAAGGCTTGTTTTTTCAGAGGAGACAGTTTTCTTTCTTAACCATTTAGGGGAAAATCTTCCACGGGGCATATTTGTACTAAATAGCAAAGACCTCTCTTTCAGAGATCTGGAAATACCAAATAAAAAAGAATATTATATGGCTTGTCTGGAAATGCTTTAACCATCTGCTGAGAGTGAGAGTACTGAGCATCCAGTTTCCATATTTAATTTCTCAGAATGTGACTTAATTGTAACTTACTGCCTTTTTTCATAGCTTTCAATAATATAAAGGGCTGAAAACTCTACTAAATTGGGTGCATTTCACTTGGATTTTCTGTCTGGTCCTGTCCACTGACATGACCTAGATTCATTATTTCATACCCACTCTTATGGCCTTGGGCACAGATTTAAAGCCATAGTCATGGGGACTAATGAGGCATGAAAACATGGGAAAATACCATGAAAAATTAACCAAATGGTCCACAAGGTCAATTTTGCTTTATAATTTTTGTAGCTGTTTTGTTTTGTATTCTATTCTATTTGTTTGGCAGAAATCTTCCATAATCAGGATAATTCAATAATTTTTTGATAGAAGATTATCAGGTTTGGGTTATAGAGTTTTTAGTATTATGGTGAACTATTTTGGATTTGTTTAAAAAGGAACTTTGAATGCTGATCATGCTCAATAGATATTCCTAGCAGAATAATAACTGCTCAGAACATCCAAAAGGAAAGACATTTTTTCATGAATATTTCAATGATTTTTTTAGACCTCCATGGAAATAATACATCTTAATGAAATAAGGGCATAGACTGCTTTTTAATATCCCAAATAGGTTTCTGTAATTGTGAAGTCAGGTTGTGCTGAATGTTCCCAGATTGTTGGTCATGAGGGAAAAACTGACAGGGATATGTGCTAGAAGATCCCTTATCAAATCTAGGGCTAATTAGTTAGTTGCTGGCCTGAAATGTAAGAAAAAGTTATTAAACCAAAAAGAATAGTAACAGCTGGTATTTCAAACCTGGTTACAAGGGGTATTAATACAGAATGAAGT